ATCACAAATGCAGACATGGTTTTATGTTTACGCGGCGCGATGCAACGCAACGTGTAAAAAGACAGTATAAGTCATTATAATCCGTAATTATGTCTCCACTGGATGCAACAAATGCCTTGTTTATAATGGGGTTTAATGTTTTTGTCTCGTTGCTCCGGCCGGGACACGTTATCAACAGTATGGTGAGGGGCATAACATTTCCGTCACATGCTTGAGGTATTCGGCCAATCACAACGCACTGAATAACTGGCCAACCAGAGCACACCTCGCTTTTCAGACCGATGAGCTTTGTAAAAATCGACGCGTTTCAAAAAGGCAGGGCATAGAGGAGAAACAATAATGTACAGTATGTGGAAAATAATGTGTTTTTTTAACCTTAAACTGCATAAACACATTTCATTACACCAAATACACAAAATAATGTTCTTTTTAGCAGCATCATATGACACCCTTTAACAAACCAGCTGGCTTCTGAACACACCTATGAAATACAATATGTGCACTAAAACATCATTAGAATTTGTATGAACATTGTTTGCATACTTACATTATTATTCATCACAGAAGTGTGCATAACTTCTAGAAGTCATAAATGGTCTTTGCGTAAATGTCTTTCTTGCCCAAATATTAAAGAGTTGCTTTGTGCAGGTCCACATGTCCGTAGTTTTAATAAAATTGAAGTCAGGCTCATGTAAACAAGCCTGGTCTCATTTTAAAGTGCCCCTATTATGCCATTTCAAACCTTGCCTTTCATGCAGTGTGTAACATCTAATCTCGGGGAGTTTAAAGTGTGATTCACAAAATGCTTGCTCTTGAAAGATGACTCATTACCCAGTTTATTTGGACCAGCTGGCTCCACTGAATCACAACCTGTAAAGTATGATAAATAATAGATGTTTATATTTTCTATTGAGAGTTCAAAATACGGAACTATGACAATGGGTGAATCATTTCGATAGCTGCTGTACGCGGTAGACCAATCACAACAGACTGGGCCATCTGACCAATCAGAGCAGATTAGGCTCACGGGGAAAGGAGAGGTTTAGAGAGACTGAATCTTAGAACGGCTTTGAATTAATCGTTTGAGAATCGTTGGAAAATAAGGTTATATTAAACGCATATTGTGATAAAACTAAAGCATTTTATGACCTTGTATGCATGTAAACCTGTTGTAGGAGACTCCCAAAACAATATTAGCAACCTCAAAAATGGCATAATAGGGGCACTTTAAATACTGATGTTTATAAACAATGTGTAAACAGATGGGTGTATCACCTGCAGTTATGACTGCGTATCTGAATAGTATGTACGTGCTCTAGATATGAAATCAAATCAGGCAGCTCGTGCGTAGTAATCTAGTTCATGTGGAATTGGTTATGCTGTTTTCAGTAGCTTTACTTTAAGACTCCTAACATTTCGTCTCGTCCTCGCATTTCCTTTTCCAATCATTATAAACCTGAAATTATAGATCCAAATGGCAGTATTGGCTTGGTTGAATGTTCAAATTTTGTAGATTATCCCAGACACCAAAGTAGGTCATTCATTAGACAAAGTGATGTGGAGAAACAACAGGATACTTGAAAACAGTCACAGGAGGTCTGGATATATTCAAAATTAGACATTGTCTCTCTATGAGGCAGTATATGAATGTGTGTTTATTAGATTGTGATCTCCAGCTTCACTGAAACTTGTTGAAACTCCCCTGAGGGCAGCAGCAGAGTGAACAAACCGATCGTTGGTATATTTGCATATGATGAGCTCATTAACATGCCTCAATATTTACATGTTCAAAGCGGATGTGTCCTGTGTAGGAACAACGTGAAAACTTGTGTAATCTTTTTATGTACCAATATCCCACTTAGTCACAATATAATTTGTCAATTAGGTGGTTCTGGGGACCTTGGTGCATTTATAATGGCAAAAATATCCAAATTAATGCAATCACTGTGCTCTCCCAGCTGATGTAAGTATCAGGTCCAAAAATATGTAATATAATTCTCCAAACTTAATATTATGAATTCAAGAGAACTTAATTGAATTTAACCCTTCTACTTTTTCCTTCCACCCACTTCTGATTTCCCTATATGAGCTTTGAAACATGTTGTTAACCTAACCTTGCAGAAATACCTTTTGTTGATCTTCTAATGAAATTAAACCAGAGAGCTTTGAGTTCGGTTCGATTTAACAGCTAGCCTGCATTCACAGTGAAAGCTGTTCTAATAGCATTTCTAACAAACATGGTTCATTTGCCTTCATGTTACCAATGTCTAATATTTAACAAATCGTTTTCAGGATATGCATAGTATACGGGTGTCTCATTTTACATTTATCCACCATAAGTAGTCTGAGAAATATATTTACACTGAAAAGATGTTACCCAGATGACGTGTATGTTGTTAGCTAAAGTGCTACATGTGCTAAAGCTAACAACGACACTTTCTTATTTGTGATTTCTCTGACTATGAACACTTCAAAGTAGTAATAAATCGTTTGTGTTATATTTAACAGTTCTACCCTTTGAAATTTCACACACACACACACACACACACACACACACATATATATTCAAGTACCTATAGTACATGAATTAATTGAGACACGCAACATGCATTTGGGATTAATCAGAGCAGCTGTGTGACTTTAAAATCCTGTCTGGGGCAAGTCATGACCGTCTCTTCACCAGACTTCAACGTGTCCAATCAGGCTCAGAACAACAGTGCGTCAAGCATTCGTTTCTCATAAATCTAATTGAGATTTAGGAATGACATGGTTGATTTAGCCTCACAGAACTGTCCTGCTAGAAAATGTGCAGATGAAGTCAATCCCATTAAGGATCCAACACACTGAACGTATGGCCCATATGGTCTCGTCGGTAGCCAGGCACAGTTTGAGTGGTCCAAGTAGTCGCATGCTCCCTCCCTTCACCCTTTGTGTCAGGGACAGTCTTCCAGGCTGAGGGTTTTACAAAGACTTAGTTCTGTAGCCATATGGAGCCTTCACGGGGGATTGTAGACCAGCCGTTGTGATGAGTGTGCCCGTTCATTATTGTTACAGAGGAGTATGACGAGGAAATACCAAACGCTACAATCCTCTAATCAATGTACACGTATAGCACACATACATGTTGAGTAAAATGGTCAGTTGGTTGTCTTCAGTACTGAATTAATTCTAAGTATACTTATAATCAAAATTTCTCTCACTTTGTCCACTATGTTGGATTAATATTTTTGCTGAGCTAATTGCAGTGCATTCTGGGATTGATTTATCCCAAATTGGGTGTAGTAGTAGGCAAAATATACCCTCAGGAACATATGTGTCCTGTGATGCCTTAAAATTCTGTCTATGTAGGGAGCTCCCTAGGAGTTATTTTGCATGTAGTCCAAAATATCTCTGAATTTTCAAGAAAAATGCAGTTGTATGTAAATTTTGTGCTCATGGAGAAACGTTTGTGTGGGGGTTCTCTGGAAAAGGCATGATCTCGTGAATGAATTAATGAAACTGTACTGCACAAAATAAAAGAATCAAAGCAACACAGCCGTTATGATACAGCAACTTCAGGGCAATTCAATGAATGATAACCACAAGGAAAACATCCTTTTTGTTTATTCATATTGTTGTCACGCGCTTCATGCTTTTGCATGCCTCTTGATGCACTGCTTTTAGAGAATGTGATTAGCTTTGGTACGGTGTGTTTCAAAGTCACATGATCTCGTGCTTGGTTTACTGAATGCAAGCAAGAATGAATCCATTGACTTCATTTAGTTCTTTTAAAGGCATTAAATGAGGAAGATACTTTTATTTTTCCCCTGACATTTTTATCGTGCTGATGCGAGCAGTTTTATAGAGCCCATTTTTAAGCCCACTATTGCTGCAGTTAGTTCAGGATTTATATGCTTGTTAGCTTGAGGTGATCTAATAAAAAGAACTGAAATGGAACGATTGTATCAGTGATAAAAAAATATATAAAAAAAAACATATTACTGTATGCCCACCTGGATCTGAGTAATAGTCATATTGACATCTTTCATGTTAACTGAATGAAATGCATCAGTGCGAAGTGAGTCACTGATGTATCATAAAGTTTTCACACACTGTTGTTGCGAACTACTTTCCTATAAACAAGCCCCTATAAACCATGAGCCTGTAATTATTGTGACAGTTGTTCTGAGAATCGACCACACAGGTCTAATTTGGCTGGTTAAACTGTGGCCTTTATGAAAGGAGGTTTATCAAGAATTAAGGGCTGAACAACAGGCCTGGGAAGTCCTGACTTACAGCAACTCTTCTAGTGAAAATGTTTCAGGATTGACAAGCTTGCTAAATATGAATCATTCATCTGAGGTATGTGCTACCGGACAAAAAAAAAAGTGTGTGTCTGCATATGCCCTCACTGCACTTCTTTGTTTCCATTCTGATAATGTTTTGAGTTTCACTATTGGGTGGGAGGAATACTTTATTAAAGCTCAGCAATCTTACACCACCCTGCCCCCCTCGCAAAGGCACTTGTGCAGTTGCAGTCTAACACATGTCCACACAAGACGTGCACAGGTCCCCACAACTGTGGTGGCAAACAGTTTGAGAGGTGGGGCTGCATTTTAGGAACATTTGTCCCACACCCCTGAACATTCCACATTCCAGCGCAGCAGCCAGAGCCACAGTAACAGGAGCACTGCTCGAGGGTCAGGATGGGCCAGTGACTGGCACACAGACACAGAAGAAGTAGCTATACTTATGATAAGTGCGGCCTACTTACTGTATAATACCCCAGCAGCAGGTCAGATGTATGAATCTCAGTAAAACATGGCAATATTTCACTCATACAATCAAAAGAAAAAAAAAACAGATTTTTAAAAATAAATTGTTTAATAAAAACAAAGTAATTTTTTTGCAAAACTACCTAATTTGCCATCCTTATGACAAAAAAAAGCAAAAAGTACTTTTAATTACTTTAACAAAATGTAGTGAACAAAACTCACAATTAATTAATTACTGAAAATTACTAAACTACAGAATTCACAACATGTATTAGATAATTGTCAGGAAAATGGCACATATCGATAATTAATATTTAGTCTTCTTTTCCTTTCGGCTGTTCCCTTCAGGGGTCGCCACAGCAAATCATCTGCCTCCATCTAGCCCTATCCCCTTCTGCATCCTCTTCTCTCAGACCGACTACCTTCATGTCTTCCTTCACTACATCCATAAACCTCCTCTTTGGTCTTCCTCTCGGCCTCCTGCCTGGCAGCTCTAACCTCAGCATCCTTTTCCCGATATATTCACTCTCCCTCCTCTGAACATGTCCAAACCATCTCAACCTGGCCTCTCTAACTTTGTCTCCAAAACATCTCACATGTGCTGTCCCTCTGATGTACTCATTCCTGATCCTATCCATCCTCGTCACTCCCAAAGAGAACCTCAACATCTTCAGCTCTGCTACCTCTAACTCTTCCTCCTGTCTTTTCCTCAGTGCAACTGTCTCCAAACCATACAACATCGCTGGTCTCACTACTGTCCTGTACACCTTTCCTTTCATTCTTGCTGGTACTCTTTTATCACACAACAAACCTGACACTTTTCTCCACCCATTCCAACCTGCCTGCACACGCTTCTTCACCTCTTTTCCACACTCCCCATTGCTCTGGACTGTTGACCCTAAGTACTTAAAATCCTGCACCTTCTTTATCTCTTCTCCCTGTAACCTCACTGTTCGACTTGGATCCCTCTCATTCACACACATGTATTCTGTCTTGCTGCGTCTAACCTTTATTCCTCTTCTCTCCAGAGCAAACCTCCACCTCTCTAGCCTTTCCTCCACCTGCTCCCTGCTCTCACTACAGATCACAATGTCATCCGCAAACATCATAGTCCATGGAGATTTTTGTCTTCTGCTCTGCTTTTGCTGTCTTCATCTTCCTCACCACCAGAGTCATCTTACACACCACCACCCTATGCTGTCTAGCTACACTCTCTCCTACCACTACTTTGCAATCGCTAATCTCCATCAGATTACAGCGTCTACATAAGATATAGTCCACCTGTGTGCTCCTGCCACCACTCTTATATGTCACCCTGTGTTCCTGCCTCTTCTGAAAGTACGTGTTCACCACAGCCATCTCCATACTTTTAGCAAAGTCTACCAACCTCTGTCCTTCTGGGTTCCTTTCCTGAAGACCAAACCTCCCCATCACTTCCTCATCCCCACTATTCCCTTCACCAACATGTCCATTAAAGTCTGCCCCTATCACCACTCTCTCACCTCTGGGAACACTCTGCATCACTTCCTCAAGCTCGCTCCAGAATCTGTCTTTCTCCTCTTGCTCACAACCTACTTGTGGAGCATAAGCACTAACAACATTCAACATCACACCTTCAATTTCCAGCTTCAGACTCATCAACCTATCTGACACTCTCTTTACCTCCAGAACATTCTTCACAAACTCCTCCTTCAGGATTACTCCTACTCCATTTCTCTTCCTGTCCACACCATGATAAAACAGTTTAAACCCTGCTCCAATGCTTCTAGCCTTGCTCCCTTTCCACCTGGTCTCCTGGACACACAGAATGTCGACTTTCCTCCTCTGCATCATATCTACCAGCTCCCTGCCTTTACCTGTCATCGTACCAACATTCAAAGTCCCTACTTTCAGTCCTAAACTCCTGCCTTTCCTCTTCTCTCTCTGCCTACGGACACGCCTTCCTCCTCTCACACACCTTCCTCCTCTCCTTCTTCGACCAACAGTAGCCCAATTTCCACCAGTGCCCTGTAGGTCAACGGCACCGATGGCGGTCGCTGTTAACCCGGGCCCCGACCGATCCGGTATGGAATTCATGTTTGTGGTTCGCATAATGAATTTGGCAAAAGTTTTACGTCGGATGCCCTTCCTGACACAACCCTCTCTATTTATCCGGGCTTGGGACCGGCACAAAAGGTACACTGGCTTGTGACCTCCTGTGGCTAGATAATTAATATTTAGTAAGCTTGTCAATTCTGAAACACTTTCACTAGAAGAGTTGCTGTATAAATTACTACAACTGTATTATACATATGTATGTAGTTAATTTGATTATGTGCTTCTGTCATTTTTAATAATTTGTATAGCTATTTTTATATATTTTTATGTATTTCATCTTAAACGTATTTTGTTTTAGTTTGTTGCCAAGGCAAATCTTTTTTTCAAGGTTAATTTTTTTCATCTAATATTTAGATTTTATTGTATTTCAGGTTTATTTCAGTTAACAAAATACATTTTTAATACTTTTACTTTCAGTTAATAATTACAACACTGTTATCCACAGGTTTTTGTACAGGTATTCTTTATCTTATCAACTTTTTTCTTTTTTTTTTTTTCTGGATGAACTTCCTCATTACGCTGTGCCTTACCTTTGTCTCATCTCTTTCTCTATGACTCTTATGCTCTGTCCCTGTCTGTCTGTCTGTTTTTTTTGCTCATTTGTTTATGGCTGAACTCAGCACACCTCAGACAGTACTGAAATAGCGCATGATCCCACAGTCTGCCTGGAGAGCAGCAAAATGAGAGCATGCTCTTTTGGAGTGTCCATCTGAGGAGCATCTGCCTGGGAACGCCATATTTTGTGCCCCATTATGACAAATTTTTTGTATTTTTTTTATGGAGACCCTCAAAAAAAATTTCATTTTTTTTCATCTCTGATGGTGTTGCCTTGCATAGTCCTTAAAGAGGCATCACTGTTCTGTGACGCAACTCTCTCAAGTAGCTCTGTCTATATCCTGCCATTCTAACAGTGATTTTTAAATATCCAGGGCAAGAGACATCAACACCAACTGACTCCACACTTACAGGGCAAAGGATCTTTGTCATCATGGCAACAGTCTGACCCCAGATATGTTTATTTGAAGTGTTTTTAATAATGATATAATTTTTTGTTTGTTACATAGGGCAATATCAAACCAAATTAGAAAAAAAAAAAAAGTGTGATGGACACCAGATGTATATGAACAAGGGAGTATTGACATCAGTACAGGGAATGAATTATGGCTGACCTTTTAATGCACTGAGCAGACTTGGTGACTGCAGTATATACTGCTGTTTACAAAAGAGAAAGAACTTTTGGATTGCAGCCCCTGTTCTCTCAGGAAAGGTTTTGTTCTAAAGGAGTGTTATGAAAATTGCTGTTAGCATTCTGTGAGTGGCCTACTTTCCCCCTGGGCAAACTTCTTGTTCACCGTGTGCTATACAAAGATGTAATTGGGGTATGAGCCTTGTGCAGTTTATGCAGGGCCTTCACGCAAACCTGATTCAATAACTCTCTTTTTATTGCAAAGTACACTTAATGGAGTGCACAGTGTTGGATATTGTTAGTGATGTGTCCAAAGCTGTCAGTTTGATTTCCAAATTATGTGACAGTGTTTTACTGAAAACAGTAAAGTTAATTAACTTTAAGACATATTTTAAAACAGCCCAGTGATGTGCAGAAACTGACTCTGTTTGGGATTCAACTGTGCCAGAAATCAACATACAAAACACAATAAGGTTATAACCAACAAATAGATTTGAATTTAAACACTTGGTTTTTAGTAGAAAATTAATTCGATACCTCGCAAAACAAACAAATAAATAAATATATTTGAGAAAAAAAAAAACTAAATGTGACGCAGTGCAGCATTTTTAAAATGTAAAAATATTTTTTGTTGTAAATAAAACAAAGATTATTGGAGTGTGTTTTACAAGAAAACACTATTTCAGATTTAAAATAGCATTTTTAATTCAATGTGTTGCTTGCTGTTTATTTGTCACTATTTGCTGAACTTTTTAGTCATTTTTAAATGAAAATAGTTTCTAAGTAAATTCTAATTATTATATTTTTTGGTCATGCCCCAGTACGTGCTGGAAACAAAAGATTTTAATTAATTTTATAGCTAACTTGTTATAAACAGTGCTAAATTATTTATGTTGTATCTATTTCACCACACATTTCACACATATTTATATCACCTTTTTTTAGTGCATGGATCTGACTTCAATAATCTGTTATATATTATGTTATGTTATGTTATGATATGATATGATATGATATTAGTATTGTGCATCTTTATATGCAATAACAGTCAAACTGACTCTAGGCTGGAGTGTATTGTACATGGACATTTCACAGGAAGCTTGTTGCGTAGTGTCACTGTTGCTAGGTAAACAAGTTATTTGTAGCCAGTGTCAGATTTAATTTGGGAGGCTGCAATGCAGAAAAACCATCCTCGACAAGATTACAGGTGACTTTCGGTCTTTCCCCTGCGGGTCACAAATACACAGGAGTGGTGGCTTGTTCTGAATAATACAAATAATAATTCAGATCTAAGCTACTTTTCCATTATGTGTACTGGATTCAGCAGGGTTGAGATTTTTAAAAGGATGCTTTTAAAAAAGTCTAGGCTGTTGAACGGTGGGGACAAAAACAGAAATGTTTATCTGGGTCCTGTTTTGATTGGGCCCCTCATAAAGTATCAAATATTGCTAATTGTTAATATACAATAGAGATTCTCTGCAGGTCTTTGCAATGCTGAGCGGCATATTCACCTTCATTCAGCATGTATCACGTCAGGTGTGTCAAAAGTGATCTCATAGTTTGTCTGCATCTTCAGCTCTATAATGTGGCCTTTTTGGTTATAAAATGTATTTAATGACTCATAAAACTATAACTAGTCATCAACTACACCTATTTTTAGTTTTGACATTTATGCACCACTGTTCAAAAGTTTGGATTGGTAAAATTTTTAAATGTTTTTGAAAAAAGTCTTTCATGATCACCAAGGTCTTGAACATAATGAATTATAAATGTCTTTACTATCACTTTTGTTCAATTTAATGCACCCTTGCTGAATCAAATTAAATTTCTTTCAAAGAAAAAAATCTTGCTGACCCTGAACTTTTGAATGGTAGATATGTAGATTATGCAATAACAAAAATGAGACACACACATGTACATACAAACATACATACTGTCACAAAACAGGAGAGGAGTCTTCACCAGTGCCGTGCTACAGGCTTTATTGACAGAAATGAGCAAATCAGGCTGGAGCAGGTGAGTTGGTATATAGTAGTGGTGCATAACAACTTAACTGGTAAAACAGGCTTGAAATGGTGTCCTTGCAGAGTTGATGGATAAGTAATAGCAGTGCCGATCCTCCCTATACGCAAAATACGCAAGATGCGTAGGGCCCCCGAAACACCAGCGGGCCCCCTTGCTCTCAAAGATGATTTCATTTTAGTTTAGTTTTTGAATTTGGTCAGCAGTTATGAAAACATGAATGATAATTTCTTTTAATGTGGTGCGCTGCTGCCCTTTCTACGTAAAAATCGGTCAAATCACGTAATGTGAATGTCGTACAGTCTTGCTCGAGACTAAAAAAAATGAGTTGAAAGCATACCGAGCCACGGAAGAGACACTGTTTCTCAAGTGCTTTCCGTGAGTGCGATTGGAGACGGAGTGAAACACAGACAAATGCGTTTCATTCGGCACTGAGTAATAGTAGATGAAGGATTGAAGATGATTGCAGGTAGAGGATAGCAAGCAGAGCTAGGGGGGTCGGGCAGTAACACACTTAGGTGGTTTTACGTGTGGTCGTAATGATGTACCGAGTCAGAATTCAGGTGATTGAGATCATGTGAGAGGATTTATGGGATCTGGTCCGTAACACATACATATATAAAAGTCAAAGAATGAATTTACTAATTGAACATCACTACATCTCTTATTATCTGTCAGGTTCAGCTAGGGTCAAGATGTCAAGGATATGAAGATTTTATTTTTTTATGTATAATTTCTTCTATTCTATTGTCAGGATGGAAAGTTGTAGGATTTTTTTTAATAAACTTGTTCCTAAAACTGTGTTTGTCTATAATATATTGTATATGTGTGTATTTCTGTGAGGGAGAACTTATGTGTGTGTATCTGTGTGTGTGAGTGTGTTTTCAGACGTCTGTTTGTTGTCTTTGTTTGTTGCATATGAGCAAATGTTGAAAGAAGTGCAGGCTTTCTATGACCAGGCCTCCTGCCGAGCAGCTGTTGGCATGCTGAAGGAGCAGCTCAGCTTTGTTTTCCTACTACGCTGACTGCTGAGTGCTTCCCCCTGTCAGCAGGACTGGGCTCAAAGCAAGGCCTTGAAGGACTCTATATCCTTCTGCTCATGACAGGGTGCTGTTTGCAAGTCTCCTTTTCCACTGGTCCGAGGTCAGTTTTGTGGCATAAATCATGTCATGTCATATGAGTAACTGATTGCTGTATAAAAGGACTCTTGAGTGTTTCTGTTGTTCACACCATGATGAAGGCTTATTATGAAGGCTCATTAGCCGCAACGTTTCGGTGTGTGGTCACTTGTTACCTGCTTTTAAATACCTAAGCCATGACCGAATAAAGACTTTTTATATTTTTACTTAAATTCTCAAGTTCCTTGGACTGATGTGGTTTTAAGAATTATCCCACACCCAAAGAGCACCAAGAAATGTATTTTAAACACCGCACAGCACATTTTGCATTATTTGTTTTCTAAAATAATGTTTGTAAAGTGTATCTCTCTCTCTCTCTCTCTCTCTTTCTCTTGTTCTCTCTCTTTTCCTCTCTCTCTCTCTATATATACTGTATATTTCTATGACTGTGAATTTTCCAGGCCTGGAAGTCACAGTCTTAAATGTCCCTGACGTTTCCAGGTTTTCCACGACTATGCAAACCCCGAATAACCCTTCTTATCTCCTCATAAACATCAAACATTTTTTCCCACATAGGCAAAATGTGATCAGACTTGAGGACAAAGAGAGTGAAATCAATTTAATATTTGGTTCCAGGTTCCCATTCAACTTCT